GACCACTTTAGTGATATAGAACCATGAAAGTGTTGTTTATTGTTTTTATACCAAAACACTGGTGATTGTCTCTCAGATACATCAGTTGTATATCTTTAGTGGTGCATTACTGTGTCCTGGGTTCATTCCCCAGCCTGGGACAGATGTTACCCTCACTACCAAACATGGCAGGTTTTCTGCAGGTACAAGAACTACAGTTTCCTCCTATACTGTACAGTTTTAGCAGACCAACTGCCCAAACGGCTCATTACTGGTAGTTATGTTGTCGCTACGTTAACTTATACAAATGTGAATCATAATATAATGCTGACTCAGCCATAGCGAGCTTCAACATTTATGCTACCGATGAATGAGTCTTGATCACACACAACTATAAGGCGGCCTTCTCTTGCCACTCCATCTTCCTTCTGGCCTTTATTGTGGAAAAGCCAAGAAATATTATTGTGTGAGGATGTAGTGGATCTCTGAGGTGACAATGATAAATATTTTGATGTTAAGTCGGTGGTGTGAGTCTGGTACTGTGCAGGTCTGACCCACCTGTTACAAACTACTGCAGGGAGTGAAGACCTTCCTTAAAAGGTTTAACTTGGCAGGATTCAGAAGGTCACAACACAGACGTCCTCAACGGCACTTGATGGTTTATAACAGCCATTTATTATTACTTACTTTTGACCTTGATGATGTGGTTCAGCCATTATCAGATGCAGGTCAGGAACACAAAGGACTGTTCCTTTATAATGCTCACTGAGTAAATGAGGATAGTTGCTTCAAGGCTCCACTGGGCAGATTGTTACCAGGTTTTATTTACAATTCTTAATTATTACATGGAATTATACATTTTCCACAATATATACTAAACTGTATACCTGTGTTGTCTATATACATGGTGAACTGTATACCTGGGTTGTCTATATTGTTTTAGCTGTGGTAAGATACCAAACTATCTCACTTGTTAACACTTGCCTGAACGAGTGTAGGTTAGTCGCTGGTACCTTTGATGCAGCCGAGTGAGATATAGAGTCATCTCACGTCATGTCACCTTTGATGCAGCTGAGTGAGATATAGGGTCATCTCACGTCATGTTACCTTTGATACAGCTGAGTGAGATATAGGGTCATCTCACCTTTGATACAGCTGAGTGAGATATAGGGTCATCTCACCTTTGATACAGCTGAGTGAGATATAGGGTCATCTCACGTCATGTTACCTTTGATACAGTCGTAGATAGTTTAAATTGTCACAGCTGTCCTGAGTTGTACTTGTAATTATCTTCGCTTGTAAGTTAAGCAAGACACACAGATAATGTTCTCTTCACTCGTTGTTCCTTGGTTTAATGTAATCACACATGCTGATTTAATAGTTATATTGGGTAGTAATGTCTGTACAATTATTTGGTATTGACAGACTAATGAGGATTAGCTATTGGCTTGTAATTAGCTGATATAATTAGAGAGAGGTACAGCCCGGAGAGCTGGTCTCACTTTAGGGCATCGTGTCCGGCTGTGAACTGGGCTGAACTCTCTTGAGTCTGGTGACTGGACAGTAACCACACTTCAACAGGTCATTAACTAAACAGCCTACCACACACTGAGGGATGAGTCTGTAGTTTAATGGGCTGTACACCCTAGGAGGTGTGACAGAAGAAATGTTTATGGGCTGTAAACCCTAGGAGGTGTGACAGATCAAATGTTTATGGGTTGTACACCCTAGGAGGTGTGACAGAACAAATGTTTATGGGCTGTACACCCTAGGAGGTGTGACAGAAGAAATGTTTATGGGCTGTACACCCTAGGAGGTGTGACATCAAATGTTTATGGGCTGTACACCCTAGGAGGTATGACAGATCAAATGTTTATGGGCTGTACACCCTAGGAGATGTGACAGAACAAATGTTTATGGGCTGTACACCCTAGGAGGTGTGACAGAACAAATGTTTATGGGCTGTGCACCCTAGGAGGTGTGACAGAACAAATGTTTATGGGCTGTACACCCTAGGAGGTGTGACAGAACAAATGTTTATGGGCTGTACACCCTAGGAGGTGTGACAGAACAAATGTTTATGGGCTGTACACCCTAGGAGGTGTGGCAGAACAAATGTTTATGGGCTGTACACCCTAGGAGGTGTGGCAGAACAAATGTTTATGGGCTGTACACCCTAGGAGGTGTGACAGAAGAAATGTTTATGGGCTGTGCACCCTAGGAGGTGTGACAGAACACATGTTTGTGGGCTGTGCACCCTAGGAGGTGTGACAGAACACATGTTTATGTCGCTGTATGCTCAATAGTCTGGGTGATAGAATGTATATAATGAATATATGTCCTTAGCTCATATTTATATAATATTAATGTGAGAGGCTAATACAATATACTGAACTGTATACCTATACAGTATTGTCTATATACATGGTGAACTGTATACCTGTATTAGCTATATACATGCTGAACTGTATACCTACATTGTCTATATGCAGGTTGAACCAATTGTAAGCTTATGTGATAAGTTTACATAATAATTATATATCTATCTATCTAAAGTAGTCTAGTGTATGTAAATATGTTGATCTTTTCCCTGATAATGTTGTTTCATCACAGGTGTTACTCTGTTGTAGTGTGAGGTGGAGGTCAATATTAAACTGAGGTGTTTAGCTGTGGCTCTGGAAGATTAACAATTTGTCTTATTTTAATTATAAACCACAACACCTTTATTTATCACTGTTTATCCAGGTATAATTTGGCTAAATTTATATTTTAATTTTACCAGGACTTAGAATTCCATCACAATATGATTTGAAATTAAGGAACAAAATTGTTTTTAAGGACTTTAGAATTAATGTGATTTAGTGAGACTGTTGAACCGTTCAGGTACTTTACATATATTTACCATTTAGGTTAAACTAAGCCATAAATACATTTTATTGTTCGTTTAGGAATTCTATCTCATTAGTTCGGCGTCATTTAATGTTGCCGTAAAATCTGTCGAGTGACTTGAGCGGCAATTATTCTGTTATAGTCGTGGCAGTTAATGTTGTTTTAGGAGATGCAGTTTATTGTGTAGTGATCTCCGTTTAAACAAACTATTTTTATTGTCCAAATTTGTCGCGCTGGGTTATGAAGGTGTGCGTGGTGGGAAAGGCTTTGGAATAAGGAATACTGAAGGTGAAAGAACACTTGAGTTTGGGGATGGTATGTAACATGTGTTTAAGAATAGGGCAAGTAGGCTGACCGTGTAGGCCTAAGGCAGGTGGCACAGAAACCTAGATTGGCTACATTTTGGTCAGGAAATTAGAACAGGTTGCTTGTGTGTGTGTGTGTTACTTAAAGATGGAGGGAGAGGAAGAAGGTGGATGTTCCAAGAAGGAGAGTGTGGGAATTGTGAAGGAACTGAATGTAAAAGAAGCATTTTCTTATGAGTTGAGAGGCGAGGAAGCAGCCAGTGAGGGGCAGTGTACCAAGACGCTGGGCCATAATAAAAGATGTTCCGTTGAGTGTGGTTGATGGCGGGAATGATGAAGTGGAAAGAGAGATAAAAAGAGAAAAGAAGATTGTGTGAGATGTGGAAGATGGTTGGCAACAGAGAGAAGTACAGTACCTGGAGGCTAAACTGAGATGGTTCAGGAGAGAAAGGAGGAAACTAACTGGGTCAAGAGATACACAAATGAATGTGGAGGGGAGGGGAGTTACAGGTAGGCAAAGAATGACATGAGGATAGGTTGTAAAGAAATGTCGGTGCTACTATAGTACCTGAGTATGTTTGTTGGTTGGAATGATGAGGAACAATCTGAACAGAAAACAAATGAATACAGTAATTGAACACAAAAAATTTAGGACTTGTCGAGTAATATCAAAATATTAAGACTAGTTTGGTCATTGTTTTCATTAATTTAGTGGCATGATCTCTTTTATCACAGTCAGCAGGAAAAATAAGGTTCATATTTTCTCAATCTTTTTGTTCAATTGTTTGTTGAATTTTCTGTTGGTGTTCCTCGTCTCCAACTCATCTCAGTCCTTCTTGACTGCAAAAATCTTATTACTGGTACTGGCAGTAATAATAAAGTAAATAATACAGTAATAAATAACTGTAAGACTTACTGCACATTGTGAGGTGAACTGATAATATGTGGATGATATTCAGAAAGTGTAATAGTATTGAGGATCAGGTCTGGGGTCCACTGCTCTCATCAAGAAGATTAATCCCCAACCTACCTAACTCAGGAGACTTTTCCTTTGTTCTATGTATTTCTCCCTTGTTTTGTTGTGTTAGTTGGCAGAAGAGGGACCTATAGTGTGTTTTATCCCATCTGAGAAGAGATTCGTAATTTGTGTATTATTGCGGGTAAAAATAAGTATATATTAAATGCGTCCTCCGAAAGCGTCAATTTGCCACCAGAGTTTAACAGTTAATTCTTGTATAATATTTCTGATAAACTTCCTACATGTTTATGTTTGATATAATTAATGTATGAATCTTTAAATAATTAAGCTAAATGTCTTTCTAGTCAGAAATGGTCATTATGAATAAACTCGTTTAGAAATACATCATTACTTCAGGAGGAAATCGGACAGATTTGCAACAGCCAATCAGGTGTAACTCTTGAGGAGGGGGCGGGGCATCTCTTCTCATCTGATAAAAAATGCACTATAGTCAAATCAGCTCCAAAATTTCATCTTATATTTCTCCAATGAGGGTTTTTACTTCATTTACCAGTGTGGCCGTTACACTTATGGAATATCATCTACAATCTCACCTCTCATTATTTATTACTGTATTATTTACTTTAATATTGTAAGTACATTTTATAACTATTTATATTTGCACAATAATTATAAATATAATATTGTATATGACAGCCAAGGCAACTTTTTGAACCACTCAGTTATTCAATGAAAGTCCAAAAATTCATCGTTAAAAATATTCTAAGTCCAAAAATTCATCATTTAAAATATTTAAGTCTAAAAATTCATCATTTAAAATATTCTAAGTCCAAAAATTCATTGTTTAAAGTATTCTAAGTCCAAAATTTATTCTAAGTCCAAAAATTCATTGTTTAAAAATATTCTAAGTCCAAAAATGGCCAAAATTATTCCTGGGCATATTTTGAGTAATAAATTTTTGTGTGGTTTTAGAGGTAAAACATTTGTGCCATTCTTACGAGCTCCAGCTTGGCATCTGTGTATTATAAGGCATAACGGACTACCTGGACGTGGGAGAGTAACTCACTGGGCCCCTACTGAGTTACTCTTCCCACGGCCAGGTAATCCATTATGCTTGTATTTTTTTATATTATTGGTGAATGATAATTTGAAGGCCTTCCTCCGGAGACGCTTCCGATTATCTTTTACCAAATTTTTTCAACGTTAGTCCTGGCAATGGCAAACTCAAAAAACACTTAAGGGTAAAAAAGGGGCAATTTTTTTGCTCAAATTTTGCAATTTTTAGCCATTTTTTCATAAAAAAATGCCAATTTTTTCATATTTTTAGCTATTTTTTTTCAGGTTTTTTAGTTATTTTTTTTATTTTATATATTTTATTTATATATTTTTATTTATATATTTTATTTATATATATTTTTTATTAATATATATTTTATTTTATATTTTTTTATTTAATTATATTTTATTTATTTACAGTATATATTTTTTATTTATATATTTTATTTATATATGTTTTTTTATATTTTATATTTTTTTATTTATATATACAGTATATATATATTATTTATATATTGTTTATTTTTCAAGTTTATATATATTTTTCATTTGTATATAATGAATTAAGATATTTTTTTCAAGTATTTCATTAAATTATTTTGCTTCAAAATCTGAAGCTGAACTTAGTCAATTTTCTGTAAAAGTTGAAAATATTGTAAATGCTAGAAAAGGTTAATAAAGACGTAATGACATTTAGACATCTATTAATGGAAACTTAATGGCTCTATAAATTTGCAGGCCAGGGCAGCAAGCACAGAGCAGTCCAGGGGAGAAAGAAAGCGATGGTCAGAACAGCAACACACACAAACCAGAGCAAATCTGGTTGGCAACATACTGAAACGAAACCGTCGAGGCGTGATCCAGGCAACAGCACACAAGAGCAGAGCCTGTCTGGACAGCAACACACAACAAACGCGTCAGGGCAGCAATAGCAAACTGAAACAGAACGTCCAGGCAGCAACCAGCAACAAGCAAGCACCGACAAACCAGCAACCAACAACAAGCTGCGACAAGGCAATCTGGGAGCAGCAACCAGCCAACAAGCCTGGCTGAAACCGTACAGGAAGTCCAGGCAGCCAACAATGTAATCAGTCTGGGCAACCACGGCACTCAGTGTTTCCGGTAACATTCCTACTTCGTCATCTTGATCAAACATTCAAAATTTTTAACCATAAAAATGTTTTAAATATAGTAATGACAAAATGAACTGTAGTGTTTTAGACAAAATTCCTTAACACTTGACAGAACCAAATTTATAAACTCAATAGAAAAATAAGAATTTTTGTTAATTTGAATTTTTCACCAAATGATCCTTGAGAACAAGTGTCTAGGGAATATTATCAGTAACTGTACAGCAACTTAACCTAAGTGTACAAGTTATGGTTCATATTAACTAAACTATAAAAACCAAAAACCTTTCATTACAAAACTTACCCACAAGTGAGTTTAGTTTAACCATAATAGTTATTGATGCTTAACTACAATATTTCCTGTATCTTTGGTTCATAGTTTTGGTAATATATTTTAAATGTTTTCTTTCAATGACTTGACCCAGAACTTATTGATTTGTGATGAATATTTTTACTTTCCACTAACTTTACGTCAATGAATTCCTCGAGTGGGTCAGTCACAGGTCTGGTACAGTATTACAAGTGAATGTTGCTAAGAGTACTTTATTATTTACTAAACATACTCATCTTGTAGGTAACTTTATGTACTTTACTGAATTAATTAAAGTCAAGCATAAACATGACCAATAATTATTTCTGGTGTTATAAATTTGATGTATTAAACGATTGGTTGAGAAGTTATAAGTAGTTACGGCCAGAGTCCAGTTTTGGGGCTTTTAACTTTGGTCAATTGTTATGATATTCCTGTCATCAATAAAGGATCATAGGTACAGTCAGGATCAAAAGTGTTGAACATCATCTGGATATATAATTGGGGATATGCTATTGCTAATAACAAACCTAAATAAATTCATACAATTTTTAATTTTTACATGCCAAATACTGTCAAATGTTCAGCACTTTTGACCAAGACTGTACATCAATTCTAGCCCCATAATCCCCTTTCAATATTCTCGACCCTTTACACATTTTCTCTTATGTATATAAATTTAAGTATAATTTCTCCATTACTTTCTATTTTGTCTTGAAATTTATAGCACCAAGAAATCTAGTATGGTCATTGAATATCCCAGAGCAATTTGTTTGCCTTTGGTTTTAAGGATAAATTGGCAGAGAAATTCCAATCAGTGTTGGAAAAGTTTATTTTGACACAGGACGATAAAGTAAACTTTACTCCCCTGTAAGTGATAATTCCGAGGCAATTTTATATGTAGTATCATGTTTTTTGTATATTTTTACATCAACTGAACTTGTTATATTCTTTAGCTGAGGTAGAGAGGAGGGGTGGATGGCTGGGTCTGGGCTGTATCACCTGCTTCCTTTAGTTGTATTGTGAATCACTTGCCATCCTGATATTGGAGAAGAGAAGCCTAGTACAGCAGTACAAGTGAGGCAAGATGTGTGGTACAGCAGAGTGCACACCTCTCCTTGCCATGGTCCAGAACCTACTGGAAGTAAAGTCAAGTTATTATCTATAAAAAGTTTCAATAACATATTTTCACAATACTAATTTATCCTAATACAGTATTGTATAACATGACCCTAAACTGAAGGTTTTATCCTCTATGGAAGTACCACATTAATTCACTTAGTCAAGTACAGTAATTGAAGAATACATTAGTGATGCACCGTTAAGAACCAGATTCAAAACACTCCCAATAATCTGCTGCCAGAGTTAATGCTATAATTTAGGTAAATTTTATCATGCAGGTAAAACAAGTCACTATATCGTCTCACCACCAAAGCCAGACTAAAAACAAAGTATCGGCCAAATACAGTATTTAAATAAAACAAATTTGCCGTTAGTCTGTTCGTCAATGTTAAATAACCCAGCCCTCGTCTTGTGTTGGTTAACCAGCCAAGGTGCCCGGGAAAGTCCTTACTATTGATGAGAAAATGAAAGCAATAAGCGTTGGGTCAGAGGAGCATCGAGACAACAGATAAACCAGACCAAGACCAGAAAATATTAACTTGCGGTGTTACTAAATTAATATTTATTTATTTATTTATTATTGATGTTAGTCTCTCCTCGTGACGGCCATTTTTGTTGTATTATCCTCAAGTGGTCATCAGCTTAATGTTTACTTGTACAGAGATGGTGGAAAAGACACGCATTTCTAAGCAACAGTGGCTTTATTCTATATTTAAGACTTATTTTGGAACATTTATTCATTATTTACTCATTCTTTATTAAAACAGGATTTAAATCATGTTATTTATCATTTTGACTAAATTTGTTATAAAAACTCCTCTCCAGCCTCAACAACCTATGTCGTTCTTAGTTCTAATTTGGGTAATATTGGTCAATAAAATATCGGATGTACCTTACCGATGCTACAGTATGTAAAACAATCTTTCTCGTCAGTGACAGTCTTTACCAGATTATTTTTCTCTTCACATTAAACAAAAGCTACTTTGTCTGGCCTGTTAATGTATCCATTACCTTACAATGAAGTGCTATAGACAGACTTCCACAGAGGACACTGCCATGTTATCCAATAAAACATTATGAGCGGCAGCCAAGTGTGACCTTCCCATAATAAGTGAACGGATTATAGTAACTGGTTTCCGTAATTACTGTATTTTGCCGATAATAAAAATGCTCGAGTAATTTATTAACCCAAAACAGCAAAATAGCATCAACTAATACTTTGTTTACAGATACTGATTATTCAGCAAAATATTGATATTATCTGTAGCTGATATCAATTCATTGGTGCATCCCAAGTATTGTACAGTACAAATACTCTATTGATATTTACAGTGGTCCCTCGGTTAACGAGTTACCTCCCATAAGATTCTTAAATTCGGTTAACGAGCAACCCCTCGGGTTAACGAGTTTCTTACGAGCCGACCTCGACAAGTTTTGGCTTGCACTGGGCGGTCAACCAGCTGTAGTATTAGTCTGCCAATACATTAATAGGTTCTAGGGCTTAAACTCCTTACTATTTTAGTAAATATCAAGAAGTTTATACTATTCAATAATTTTAAAAGTTTAATATTAATTTTTTTTAGTCATTTTAACAATTATTGAACATAATTGAAAGTAAAGTAACTACAGTTGTACCCCACTTAATGCGGTCAATTGAACCCAGAGGGTCCCGTGTTAAGTGAAATCCGCGTTAAGTGAACAACAGAACATATGGGATTAATTCCAATAGAAACCGGCCCGACCCCCAAACTCCACTTTTTGAAGGCACATACCTATGTTGTAGTAAAAATAACAACTTAATTTTATGATGGTACATGCACACAATTAATACTTAAGAGAAATAGAGAAATACAGTCGCCAAGTTAATGTTCATTCAAATAATGGACTCAACCTTGCCTCCCCCCTCTTCCAACCGCGCGGTCAGTCCCAACCCTCCCCCCCACCCCCCACCAATCCTCCCTTCCAGGGTTTTTAACATTTAGTATTAAATAATACCTCAGATTAAAGTTAGGATAATATAATTGACATTGCTGGATTCCTTGTAAGACCAGGAATATTTTGAATATAAATGTCATATATTTTGCACAAAAGATAACATAGTTAATTTGAGAAAAATTTTTATCTAAAATTTGTATGTCTAATGCAAAAATATGATGTTTATATTCAAAATGATCATCAAATTATAAGAATTCCAGCAATGTAAATTATATTCAGACCGGGTAATTTGTATGAATTTTATGAGCTAAAACAAATATCTTCAGTTAATAAAAAAAAAAAATAATTCTTCACAGGGTAACAGATGGTCGGTCGGTCCCTCCCTCCTCCCCACCCCCCACCAACCGTCCCAAGGAGATGTGTGGGATAACCACTAAATTTTAATAAATAATACCTCAAACTAAAGTTAGGATAATATAATTGACATTGCTGGATTCCTTGTAAGACCAGGAATATTTTGAATATAAATGTCATATATTTTGCACAAAAGATAACATAGTTAATTTGAGAAAAAATTTTATCTAAAATTTGTATGTCTAATGCAAAAATATGATGTTTATATTAAAAATGATCACCAAATTATAAGAATTCCAGCAATGTAAATTATATTCT